TGATGAGAAAGAATCATTAACCAGCTGCCTCCTGCACACTCACTACTGGGGATCGAACCAGAAACCCAGGCATGTGCCCTGACCAGGAATCGAACTGTGACCTCCTGGTTCAGAGGCCGACACTCGGCCGCTAAGCAACACTGGCCTGGCCAGACAAGCCTTTCTTGAACATGCTATTTAGGTAGACATGATTCTATAGTAAGCTGGCATTAATTAGATGTGCGTGCTTTGTTGTATGAAGATCTTATTTCACATCTTTATTTCTATCTCTATAATATATATATTTGTATATGATATATGTATATGTAGACACACACACACACACACACACACACACACACACCCGCAGTTGCCAAAGAGAGAGTAATTAGGGTCTATTACTGGTAGACTACAGTCTTTGTACCAAAGGAACCTCATTCCAGGAGGTCTGAAGGCACAAAGAATGTAACTATTGAGTCATTGCAACTATGTTTCTTTCACCAGTACCTTCAAACTATTGGCTGAAATTTCTATTAAAAAAAAAAAAGTTAGCCTTTCTGTGTGAACAACAGAAGAGGATACATCAAAAGCCAGGTTGGGGTGCATGGTGAGGAAAGGCTGGCATTATAAAAGAAATTAAGTCCACACAGTCAGTGAGAGAAAAAGCAGAGAATCAAGAGAGGTGCTATCAACAGAAGTCACTAGAGAACAAACAAAACAAAACAAAACATGTCAAACAAAATAAGCAGCTTAAATTATAAAGAATAAAAGAGATTGAGAAAACCCTTTGAAACATGAAACATCTATTTCCACCACTCTAATCCTTTAAAGCTCTATATTCTTTTCTTTGGTCATTTGCCCTAAATTACTTAAATACTTAACAAGAGACAGATTAATTGAGTTAATCTTTTAGCTTTTGGCTAAACTGAGATGAGGCCAACAAATGTATCAGCATTTAATGGATAAATTTTGAATAAGTATGGGATTCAGTTAATATCTCAGCCCAATTATATTTTTTTTAGCCCAATCACTTTTAATATGCATATTGACATGGTCTTACTCCAATAAACATTAGGTTCTTTGAACAAATATGACTTAAAAATATTTTCAGTCCTCTAGTAGCAAAACTCATTGATCAGAGATGACTAAAATTTTTATCCTTTACAATTTATAATTTCCAACATTTTGATGTTTGAATATTCCAATAATATCTAAAAATTTCCAATATATAGTGTTCAACAAATGTGAAATACTAATAGGAAATCTTTAAAATTACAACTAACTCTCACTAGAATGTGAATGTATATAACAGAAGGAATAAAAGTAAATGGAAGTCTTCACTTGCTGAAATTCTTTTGTTAATGGCATCAGGAATGTTTTCTAAAACTATTTAAATAACAGACACAAGATGATAAGAATATTTTAGCAATACTTGACACCGTTAGTTGCATATCTGTTTCAATTTACTGGCAAAAATAGTATCAACTGAAATACTATAGAGTTGCAGCAGTATTTCTCAACTTAAATTAAATGCACCTATAGTATCTAATGAATTCAATACAGAAAGGTTATCACATAGGTACCGCACCCTTGCACAACTCAAATAAAAAACATTTTTAATTCTTGGTTGTGTTTTATTAGACTCTCTCTGTCCTTCATAGCAAGCTGGAGAGAGGTTTTTCTGCTGGCTATAAAAGAAGTGAGCTGCTGCCCAGCCTGTGTGGCTCAATGGTTAAGTGTCGACCCATGAACCAGGTCATGGTTCTATTCCCGGTCAGGGCACATGCCTGGGTTGGGGGCTCGATCCTCAGTATGAGGTGTGCAGGAGGCAGCTGAGTGATGATTCTCTCTCATTATTGATGTTTCTATCTCTCTCTCTCTTCCTCTCTCTCTGAAATCAATAAAAACTTACATATTTTTAAAAGAAGTGAGCTGCCATATTGTGCCAGGGCTGCGTGATGAAGATCTGAGGGCGACCTCTAGAATCTGAGAGGGGTCCCCCGCAGACAGCCAGCTAGAAAATGGGACCTCAGTCCTATAACTGCAAGAACACAATCCTGCCAACAACCAGTGGGCGTGGAGGAGGAGCCAACCTCAGGTAAGACCACAGCCCAGCCAGCACCTTGATTTCAGCCTGGGAAGACCCCAAGCAGAGGATGAACTAACCAGACAGTTGACCCCAGACACTGTGAGAGAGTGAATGGCTGTTGTTTTAGGTCACTACATTTATGGTAATTTGTCATGCAGTATTGAAAACTAATACACAGGCCTTGAGGGGTGGGGAGTCAGCTTTTAGGAATGACCTGAGTGCTTAAATTGGCTGCTAAGACCAAGAAGAAGAAGAAGGTAGGAAACCAGGACTGTGCAATGCACCTGCACCCCGGAGTTCCCTGCAAGGTGGAGAGTCTGCTCCCCATCCACAGACGGGAAAATGAGGCGCAGGGAGGCGGGGCTGGCCCTAAGGGACACAAGCAAGAAGAGCAAGGCTGGGAGCTGAACCAGAGAACTCCCCACTGCCTCTGGGTGTGTGCCTGTTTGGGGTGTATCGGCAGATAAAGCGTTCGAGGTGTGTGGGCAAGGTGATAGAGCTGGCATGGAAGGACCTGGAGGGGCCCACTAGGAGTTGAGTAAAACGACTGTTTCCAGACCAAAAAAAAAAAAAAATTTAACACAAATATATATTATTATTCTTTAGTGTGGCAATTAAATATTTCAAATGCTTGTTTCTTTTATTTTCATAATAGCCCTTTCTTCGCCTTTTTCCTTTTCATAAAAGTGTTATGACACACACAGCAACAATGACAAAGAAATCGAACCTATGCTTCCTCTGAGCTGTAAATTTCCAAAATTTCACATTTATGTTTCTTTTATGTATTTTACTGACTAGTTGTCTCTTTAGATATCATGTACCCCATAACTGCCAGTTTTAAATACCAATTCTAAACAAAAGTGACTTGACAGATTCGTTTTACTCTCTAGGCCAGTTTTTCTTCAAGGGAGGTGCTGAATTATTTTAGGATCTTTCATTGTCTAAATAAATTTTATTTCAGTGACCAAAAGATAGGAAACTAGAATAAGGGATGCAAGGAAATAAGAAAACTTAAAAGTTACAATGAATACTTCAAAGAAAAAAAAAGAAATAGCAATTTTAGCATCTTGAAAACAGAAGATCAACAATAATAACTACAGCCAAACCGGTTTGGCTCAGTGGATAGAGCATCGGCCTGCAGACTGAAAGTTCCCAGGTTCGATTCCGGTCAAGGGCATGTACCTTGGTTGCGGGCACATCCCCAGTGGGAGGTGTGCAGGGGGCAGCTGGTCGATGTTTCTCTCTCATCGATGTTTCTAACTCTCTATCCCTCTCCCTTCCTCTCTGTAGAAAATCAATAAAATATATTTAAAAAAAACCAAAACAATAATAACTACAGGGCAGGGAAGGCTGGGGGAAGGTCAATGGGGGGAAAAAAGGAGACATATATACTACTATTTGTAATACTTCAAACAATAAAATAAAATTAAAAAAATAATATCTACAATTTATTAAATGTTTCCTATATGCCAGGCATTGTGTTAAACTTCTTACATAAATAACCTCATTTTATTCTTCACAAAAACCCCTCTGAGGTAAAAAGCAATATTACCTATTCCAATATCACCCAGCCAACAAGACACAGTGCTAGGAACAGAATGTACATACTTCTACGTGTCTCTAAAACTTATCTCCTGACCACCATACATACTGCCTTCTATACAACATGTATTGGAGACCAAGTTTGGTAATGTAATGTAATTGCTCTGAGTGACGTGGAAGGTAGCGAATAAGAGCTTACCACTTTACAAATCAAAATGTAAGCAGGAAAGAAAATTGGGAAGGTAATGGACAAAACTCTCTAAACGAGTTCCCAAATCTAGCACTTGTCTGGCATCTTGGGCAACAATATCTGCTTCAGACAAAGTAAAAAAATTAGTCTGTGAGGAGGCGATAAAGCCATGAAAAAAAGCTATCGGTGTTGAAGTTGTGCAGCCATTGATCAGGAAAATGTATGAATCATTTGCATAAGTCATAAAAGTCACATTATGTATTGCTGCAATACCTGACTTTCTTGATAAATTCTATTAATAGGGTTGATCTTTGAACTATAATATTGCTGACTACTTTCTAGACCCATTTCTTAGAGATGATTTCAAAGTTTAAGAATTTGAAACATGAGTGCATATAGAGGATCTGAAATTTTTTTGGTGTGAGCAACAAATGTAACACACTGGACATGCCAGGCCACTTTACTATTGGTAGAGCACAGTCATAGTTACCGTCTTCTTTTCTACCCAGGTGACTTTTCTTCCCTGTTTTCTTGTGAGGACTCCATTTACTGTGGTTCAGATGGGGCTCATTCCATACTTCCTCTCCACCATACTAGTACACACACTTCCACGTATACCACCACCACCACCATCACCTTAGGAGTAAACAGATGGTGGCAAAGTATCTAGCTAGGTCTTTGCCACCATTTGAAGAAAGTCTGTAAGAGAATAAAGCCAACAACAGGGAGAAGAAAATGCTGAGTGGGAGTGTGGCAACATTCCAATGACATCATTTGAAACTGAATCTAGCTGTAGGTGAAGTGGAAACAATCTTGCATTTCCCAGTTACACAGCCAAGAGAAGCCCTTTGTGTCTAAACTAGTTTAAGTTGGGCTTCTCCCACTTGCAAACAAAAGAAAACCTTGAACGTACGTACACTATCACTATAAACACAGTGATACCAAGACATCACTAAAATCTCAGGTCCTTGCACATCAGGAGTACGTAAGCTCTGGCAAATGTATCACAGCCTTTGCTTAGGTAGAATGAAGCACAACCCCATCACATTGGCCCTAATTTTTAAAATTTTGCTTTCATTTCTATTATTTTGAAATGTATCATGCATACAGAAGGCTACAAAATGCATCTGCACAATTTAGAGAATACTAATATAAGGAACATCAGATATCAGCCCCCACGTAGAAATAGAAAATCATAGTGTGCTGGCTTCGGTGGCACATATATTAAAATGGAAACAATACAAAGAAGATTAGCATGGTCCCCGGGCAAGGATGACACGCAAATTCGTGAAGTGTTCCATATTTAAAAAAGAAAGAAAAAAATCATAGGTACTTTAGAAGCCCACTTCGTGCTCTTTCCACATCACCTGAGAGGTAACCACTATATATTCTTTGGGTAACTACTATACATAGGGTGGGAAAAGGTAGGTTTACATACACATAAGGTGGGGCAAAGTTGCTAGCATTTTTAATGCATTGTTGGATTTTTTTTTTTTTTAGTTTTCTCTTGTGTTGTTGGATTTGATTTACTAATGTTTCATTTAGAATATCCATGTCTCATTTCATGAATGAAAGTAGCCAGTAATTTTCCTTTTCTGTACTTCCCTTTTCTGGTTTTGGTTCTCAAGGTCACATTCATCTGATTAAATATTACTCTATGGAATGGTACATCTAGAAACTATATCAGCTCTTGAGTCACCCAAATAATAGAATAGGAAATTAAGTTATACTACATAGCTCCAAGCATGCATTCAATCCACTTCCATGAATATACTTAAAAACTGTGCAGGGTGCCATTTATCTATAGAAGAGGAATATATAAATTTGTAGATAAAAATGTTATTCCTCTGTAAATGGACATTTCTGAATTATGTCATAAATAAACCAGTTAAAGAGGCAGATATATTCAAAGTAAATGCTTTGACGTACACTATCATTCTTCATTATATTAATTATGTTATATTAATTAATTATATTAATCTTCTTGCACTCCTACAGAGAATATTTTTCTGGCTGCGTACTGTATAGAGCAGTGTAGTAAAAGGAAAACAGTAGTCCACCACTACCCAGCAGACTTAACTCTCATTCCAGCTCTGCTACTCTCTAAGTTGCCTCAGTTATAAAATGGAGATAATATTCATTACAGTTCTTTTATTAAGGATAAAATGAAATGACCTGTATGAAAATCAATTTACATAAATGTACTACTTGAACTATGATGTATCATTATTCTTTTTATAATCTGGTATTCTTGGTAACTCAAAATATAAGAATATATAATTTAACTTCTTTTTCAATTAAACATATTTTTGGATGAAAATCCAAAGTGGCTAAAATTAGTTATAGAGTTAATGTAAAAAGATAGAAAAATGGAAGTTTGCAGCCAAAAGATTGTTCTGTTCTCCTCAGACAGTAAGTGGAAATGGTATGTATTTATAGCACTCATAATTTAGACATGAAACTAAATAATCTTGTTTACCAAGCAATCAAAACAATATGAAAAACAAGGTGGGGGGAGGCAATAGAGACCTGCTTTTGAAGTGATATCCCACTTCTGATCTACACATGAACTTGGCTGTGATGTCAAAAATTTTTCAGCCTCGTTGGTGTGGCTCAGTGGTTCAGCATCGACCTATGAACCAGGAGATTGAGATTCTATTCCCCATCAGGGCACATGCCTGGGTTGTGGGCTGGATCCCCCGGGGGGGTGGGGAGGGATGCAGGAGGAAGCTGATGTTTCTCTCTCATCATTGATGTTTCTCTCTCTCCCTCTCTCTTCCTCTCTCTGAAATCAATACAAACATATTTTAAAAGCAATTTTTAAAAATATGGTAAGGAAGCTTTTATTCAAGAGGGACTACTCAGATGGAGGTTTTGCTGTAGGGGGCGAGAGAATGAGATCAACTCTGAATACAACAAGGATGAGTAGGGATTTATAGCCAAGTTGGAGAGCAGAGGTCAGTGGATGGAAAAATTACTTAGAGAAATTCTCGCTAACTCAACTCAACAAGCCAAGGATGGGTACAGGATTTCCCCCCCCCCTTCACTTATTGTTATATAATGTCTGGTCATCGGGATGTACACCTGTAACTAATATAATGATGTATGTCAACTATAATTGAAAAATTTTAAATGATTAAAAAAAAGATATCAAGGATGCAGGATGATGAATTTGATCTATGGAAGATGACCAGATATCAAGACTCAGCAGGATTCTAGCTAAAAGTGGACTAAGCAGTAGAGGACAGACCCCAAACTTGGGACCTAGTAGAGAAGAGGACTCAAGGAGCCCGACTCAGGTTTGGTCAAGGAGAAAGTCTGACTGAGGCTGTGATATCTGTCTCTTGACTTGATGGTTCAAACATCAGCTTCTCCTGTAGAAGATTTTTATGAGTTTACTTGAGCCAAACTGACAACAATTGCCAGGAAGCAAAATCTCAAACAGATTGAGAAAATGCTCCAGAGAATGGCAGTTTTGCAGTTTATTTTATACATTTCAATCCAAGGAGGAGATGTAGGGGTGGGTTACGTAAAATTCATTGGTGGTAGATTAGGGAGGCTAGGAAGCAAAGGAAGAAGGTATCTCAGATTGAATAAAGCAAGCATGTCAAACTTGCAGCCCTCTGGCCACATGCAGCCCACAACGAATATTTTTGAGGCCCAGTCAATATAACAATCTGTAAGAAACATTTTAATAAAAATTTTGTAACTTAATTTTTACAATATCCTGTTATACATAACTAGAGGCCTGGTGCACAAAATTTGTGCACTGGGGGCAGGGAGTGTCCCTCAGCCCAGCCTGCACCCTCTCCAATCTGGGACCCCTCTCACAATCCGGGACTGCTGGCTCCCAACCGCTCGCCTGCCTGCCTGTCTGATTGCCCCTAACTGCTTCTGCCTGCCAGCCTGATCACCCACTAACCACTCCCCTGCCAGCCTGATTGACGCCTAACTGCTCCCCTGCCGACCTAGTCCCACCCAACTGCCCTGCCCTGCGGGCCTGGTCACCCCCAACTGCCCTCCCCTGCTGGCCTGGTCACCCCTAACTGCCCTCCCTGCTGGCCTGATCACCCACAACCGCCCTCCCCTGCCGGCCATCTTGTGGCTGTGGGCGCCACCATCTTTGAGGGAGGGGCAGTCAATTAGCATATTCCCTCTTTATTAGATAGGATTATTAATAACAAACTACAATGTTCACTAATGACTGATTACTATAATCATGTTGCATTCATTTCCCTTACACGCAGGCACATCATTTCTCTCCACTAATACTAGCAGCAAATATTTTGGCAGCTGATTGCCACATCATTAGTCTTGTACTGACTTGTTTGGTGTGCACAACAGGAAATATTTTGCTTTCGGAGAAGAAGAAAAATAGGTTTATTTGCGTTATGCTTATTAATATGTGCAGTTAGTCAGTGTCTGGTAAGTTAATGTTTAAGAAAAAATATTAATTTTTATTAAAATGTCTATTATTTTATGTTAATGATTACTCATTTATTTCAGCTCTTTGTATTCAGCATGTCTCTATTGAAATAATCCTATATTTCTATGAAAATTGAAGCTTTTGTTTTTTTGCAGCCCACATAAACTTAAGCCTTGTTTATTTGGCCCGTGTTAGCCTTTGAGTTTGAATATGCTTGGAATAAAGAGTAAAATGGAGAGACACGTACTTGTTTTACATTAGTGGTAGAGGATAGTCAACAATGAACATTTACAGAATATAGAAACGGTATGCAGGCAACGAGATAACAATGAAGGGCTTGAGCTCTGAGTCTAGTGCTCCATTAGGAGATTGTGCTCTGAGGTGTCTGGAAAAGGAGACTACTCTAGCATTCCAAAGGTATGTTATCTTCGATGCAAAAATACATAGACAGGATCAATTTAGGTAAAGATTAACCTTTATCAAGGAAGATAGTGGCCTACAATCTGACTACCCGCCAGGACTCACTTTTAGTTAGAAGTTTTAAGTTCAGACCATCCTGAATGGTTGCTTTAGGTCCCTACATTTATAAGGCTGCCATGCAGGCCTCCCCTGGGCTTGTCAGGTTTAGTATGTAGCCCCTTTTTTGATCCACACTAGCCTCACGTTGAGAAAAATCTAAAGTTGCTTCATGTCAACACTCCTTATTACCCTTGTTGCTGTTTACCTTTAAGCAACAATTTTAGTATCTGGTAACCACTCCTATTCTTAGTGACTATCCAAGGGCATTAAATAGATAAGAACAGTTCTGAAAACAATAAATGGCTATGCTTCAAATAAATTTTTAAATACTGGAATCTGTCCTGTATATACTGGATGTGGGTGTGTCAGAGTTAATAACTATGTCTTGGTGTTGAAATGAAACTCAGGTTTGGGCTTACATTCAAAGAATACTAACCCTTCCACTCCTCAATAGGAATCTGAATGTAAAGTAATGCCTCCTTATTTGACAATATTGAACTTTACCTGAAGGTTAAGAAGTCCACGCACCCATTTGTGAAAATAGCTTACTGCAAGGAACCACTCTTCCCAGTATGAGTTAGATAACATTCTTGGCTTGTGTACCTATGACAAAGCCAGACACAGACGCTCCAATTTCCATTCTTTATCTCATAAATTACTGGCTGAATTGCTTTGTCTGCACTGATGAATAGAAATAAAATGATATTAATCAAACTTTAGTTAAGCCTCTTTCCTCCCCATGACTCTGACCTTTGGCCCACCCTGAGCCAGCACAGCCACTCCTTTAGGGCAGTTGCCTGAAAAGAAGCTGGCCTCAGGATAAACATTCTCTTATCTACCATCTTATCACATCACCCTTTCATCCCAAGTCCCCAACCTGGTTCTTTCTGGTTTCCTTCACTCTTCCCTATAGAAGAATACCTTTTCTGCCCTAGCTGGTTTGGCTCACTGGATAGAGCGTCAGTTCTTAGACTGAAGGGTCCTGGATTCCATTCCAGTCAAGGGCATGTATCTCGGTGGCAGACTTGATCCCAGGCCCTGGTCAGGGTGCAGAAATCAATGTGACACATGGATGTTTCTTTCTGTTTCTCCCCCTCCCTTCAACTCTCTAAAAATCAATGGGAAAAATATCCTCAAGTGAGGATTAACAACAACAAAAAAGGTTAAGAAATACCTTTTTGGGTAATGGGACCAAGATGGCGGCATAGGTAAACACCGGAGATTGCTGCCTCACACAACCACTTCAAAAATACAACTAAAAGACGGAACGGACATCACCCAGAACCACAGGAAGGCTGGCTGAGGGGAAATTCTACAACTAGAAGGAAAGAGAAAAGCATACCGAGACTCAGAGGAGGCGCA